AGAGAGAGAGCATGAGGGGGGGAGGGTCAGAGGGAGAAGCAGACTCCCCACCGAGCAGGGAGCCTGATGTGGGACTCGATCCTGGGACTCCAGGTTCATGACCTGAGCCGAAGGCAGTCGCTTAACCAACTGAGTCACCCAGGCGCCCATGACTTAATTTTTTTTAACTTCTTCTTCTTTTTTTTAAAAATATTTTATTTATTTATTTGCCTGAGAGAGTGAGCACAAGCAGGGGGGACAGCAGGCAGAGGGACAAGCAGGCTCCCTGATGAGCAAGGAGCCCGATGTGGGACTCGATCCCAGGACCCTGGGATCATGACCTGAGCTGAAGACAGAGGCTTAACCAACTGAGCAACCCAGGCGTCCCAACAATGACTTAATTTTTAAAAGATAATTTTTTTTTTTTTAAGTAGGCTCAGCCCCGCGTGGAGCCCAATGCAGGGCTCAATCTAATGACCCTGAGATCAAGCCCTGAGCTGAGATCAAGAGTCAGATGCTTACCTGATTGAGCCACCCAGGTACCCCCAAACATTTTCCTCTAAAACAAATCAGAGCCCTGAGATTTTGACTTGTTAAAGAAGTTGGTAATGCAAGCACAAGCAGGAGGCAGAATGCCTCCAGGGATGGAAGTGTCCCCAGCTTTCTGCTCCCTTGGAAAGGTTTTTCCCTTTCTGGAAGTCAGTTCATTCCATCTTCTTTGTGACTCGCAGGACAGCCCTTCCCAGAGGGCCTGGAGACCTGTGCCAACCCATCCGGCCTGAAAAACATATCTGTTCTTGTCCAGATGCCACAGAACTGGGATAGGACTCAATCCCGCAGGGATCTGCAGAGCGAGAACAGGCAAATTGTATTTTCTAAAGATGGCCGCAATAGTATGTATTCCATCTCACTGGCTATTCTTAGATCTGATGTCCTTGTTCACTGAGAGGTGGAGATTTATATTCCCTCACCTTGTGACTGCCTTGACCAACAGAGTTCAGCGGTGTGATTCCTGAGCCTACATCATAAAAGGCAACTCCCTCGGGGCTCCTGGGTGGCTCAGTTGGTTAAGCATCTGACTCTTGATTTCAGCTCAGGTCATGATTTCAGGGTCCTGGGATTGAACCCTGCTTCGGCCTCCGTGCTTAGCAAGGAGTCTGCTTGTCCCTCTCCCTTGGCTCCTCACCCCCTCTCCCCCCATAAATGAATAAAATCTTTAAAAAAGAGAAAAGACAATTCCCTCTTTACAAGCCTGCCCTGGGAACCCAGCCAACATGTTATAAGGAGGCCTAGGCCATATCAGTGAAGAGGCCATGTGTAGGTGCTCCAGCCAACAGCCCTAAGGAAGAACCAAGCATTAGCCCCCATCAATTCTGTATCTGTGAGGGAATTTGTCTTTTTTTTTTTTTTTTTTTTACTATTTTATTTATTTATTTGACAGAGAGAGACACAGCGAGAGAGGGAACACAAGCAGGGGGAGTGGGAGAGGGAGAAGCAGGCCTCCCACTGAGCAGGGAGCCCGATGCGGGGCTCGATCCCAGAACCCTGGGATCATGACCTGAGCCTAAGGCAGACACTTAACGACTGAGCCACCCTGGCGCCCCGGGAATGAGTCTTCAGATTCATTCCTGCCCCCTGTCAAATAGGATCAGAAAAGACAGTTTTCCCATGAAGCTCTGCCCAAATTGCAGATTTGTGAGCAAAGTAAATGTTTAGAGCCACCAGGTTGAGGGATGGTTTGTTACACAGCAATCACTGAAAAAGAAGTCTGTGCAAAAGAGTTAAAACACATTTGGTCTCCCTATGAAATGCAGATCATCCTTTGGCCTCCCGGGAGGAAGGTTAACAAGCTCATGGGATGACATAGGGTAAGGCACTTTCCAGCTGCTCTATAGCAAATATCCACCCTCTGGCACCTTGTCATTTTATTTTATTTATTTATTTATTTTTAAAGATGTTATTTATTTATTTGAGAGAGAGAGAATGAGAGAGCAGATGAGAGGGGGGAGGGTCAGAGGGAGAAGCAGACTCCCCGCTGAGCAGGGAGCCCTATGCGGGACTCGATCCAGGGACTCCAGGATCATGACCTGAGCTGAAGGCAGTCGCTTAACCAACTGAGCCACCCAGGCACTGGCACCTTGTCATTTTAAACAATAACATTTGTTTTCTGATTATAACAGTTTATACACTCACTATAAAAAATTCAGAAAAATGAGAATTAAAAAAGAGAATGGAAATGATCTGACTCCCAGCATTTACAATGTTCACAATTTGGTCCCTTTCCCTTTACTCTTTTTTATATAGAAATTTATTTTACAGGGGTGTCTGTCTGGGTGGCTCAGTCAGTTAAGTGTCTGCCTTCAGCTCAGGTCATGATCTCAGGGTCCTGGGATCGAGCCCTACATCAGGCTCTCTGCTCAGTGGGGAGCCTGCTTCTCCCTCTCCCTCTGCCTCAGGTCCCTCTGCTTGTGCTCTCTCTCTCTCTCTCTGAGTGTGTCAAATAAATAAATAAAATCTTAAAAAAATTTATTTTACAAAACGTAGGTCATATTTGCACAGTAAATACTGATGTTAACCCATCATTCAGCAGTCATGTTTTGAGTGTGTCAGGTACCCAGCTGGACACTGGGAAAGGGGAGATGGGGAGTAGGGCTTTTCCAAGCCATGACAGTGACGGTGACTCACCTTGGGTCACTAGTGAGATATTGAGACTTCATTCTTAGGCGTGGCTAGGTGTTGCCTGGGGAGCATCATGGGTATCTGCGGCTTTGCTGCCAGGGGTGGGCATGGCCTAGGAGGTGTTCCATCCTCCTCTACTACCTCAGTAGCAAGGAAGCTTGGGGGATGCCTGGTGGGCACAGCCACCAAACTCTGTCCCTTGCAGGTGATAAGCCTTTTAAATGGCACCCAGATGACAGCTCATATTGCATATGCACATCAAGCAAAAAGTATTTCCTTAGAGATCCACTGTCCAACATAGAGCATGTAGTAACAAGTGGCCTTTAAAATCTCAGAGGGTAAATCTCATATTCAGTGTTTTTACCAAACCCTCCCCAAAACAAAAACCAGAGGGACACAAGGAAACTTTTGGAGGTGATGGATATGTTTATGACCTCGATCACAGTGATGGTATCACAGGTACTTGCCCATGTCCAAACATGAAATAAAGCTGTAAAAAAGAGTGCTTCCTCCTTTAGAAACACTTAAATAACAAAGTTGAATTGCATTCAAAATCCACTCTCAGGGGTGCCTGGGTGGCTCAGTTGTTAAGCGTCTGCCTTCAGCTCAGGTCATGATCCCGGGGTCCTGGGATCGAGCGCCATATCCAGCCCCACATCGAGCCCCATATGGAGCCCCGCATCAGGCTCCCTGCTTGGCAGGAAGCCTGCTTCTCCCTCTCCCACTCCCCCTGCTTGTGTTCCCTCTCTCACTGTGTCTCTCCCTGTCAAATAAATAAATAAAATCTTAAAAAAAAAAAAAAATCCAGCACAAACAATGAATCATGGAACACTTCATCTAAAACTAATGATGTAATGTATGGGGATTAACATAAGAATTAAAAAAAACCCACCAACCCCCCCCCCAAAAAAAAATCCACTCTCAGTAACATGAGAATCTTCAATATTATGTTGTATTCACAAGTGAAAGAAAAGGCAAAGTTATTAGGTTGTTTTTTTTTTTAAGATTTTATTTTATTTTTAAGTAATCTCTACACCCAACATGGGGTTGGAACCCACAACCCCAAGATCAAGAGTGGAGGCTCTTCCCACTGAGCCAGCCAGGTGCCCCTAAATAACCTTTTTTTCTCATGAGGCTTCTATAGATGCCCCCAACCCCCTCCCCTCCCCCGCAGGCCGCAGCTCAGCTGGGGTCACACACAAGCTGGGGTCAGCAGCCCACCAGGTGGCCAGAGCAGAGAGAGTCCAGGCTGGGGCAGACCGGTGTTTACAACGCTTGGCTGATGTAATAGCCATCTGCATCAGCCTTCCTTGGGGAGAATGACGACTATACTTGTTTTACCCGCTTGTTAAAAATGCTGATTTATTTATTTATTCTTGAGCTTCCTTTTCTTGTGTGTTTCACAGAAAAAGCTGGAGCCCCTGAAGCCACGCGGGTGTCTCGCCTCTGGGGGAGCCACGAGTTTTGTCACCCCCGTTTGCTCTCTTTCTGGTTTGCTTATTTGTTTTTAGTAATTTTAGTATGTTTTAGCAACATTTCATTTTTTCTTTTTATTATTTTTTTAATTAACATCTAATGTATTAAGCAACATTTCTTTTCTTTTTTTTTTTTAATTTTTTTTTTAAAGATTTTACTTATTTATTTGAGAGAGAGAATGAGACAGAGAGAGAGAGCATGAGATGGAGGATCAGAGGGAGAAGCAGACTCCCTGCCGAGCAGGGAGCCCGATGCGGGACTCGATCCCGGGACTCCAGGACCATGACCTGAGCCAAAGGCAGTCGCTTAACCAACTGAGCCACCCAGGCGCCCGGCAACATTTATTTTCCATGAAATGTTAGAAACGCAGCTCCCCACTCCCTGCGGGCGCCTCCCACTCCCAGACCTCGCGACCCGTGGGTGCCAGCCACGGGAGCGCGTGGGTGTCACCCGGGGGCGCTCGGTTTATCCCACCTCCGGCCTGTCCTGGGCCGCGAGCACCTCCAGTCGGGGTACGTCTGTGGAACGAGAGAGGAACCGCCCGAACGGTCGCGAAACTCTCCCGCTGCCGTTTCCCCGGGGACCGCAGGGTCCCTCGGATGCCTCCGAACCGGCGTGCGCGGCAAGGTCGGAGTTGATCGGAGGGTCCACTTCCCGTCCTGAGGGGCGGTCAGCCTCCAGTCCGGAGTCCCGGGGAGCGGGCAGCCGGGTAGGCGTCCCCGGGACGCGAGGACACCTGCGGCCTGTGGCCGGGCGGGCGGCTCCTGCAGCCGCCGCGCCTCCTTAAAGCCGCGGCCCCGCCCCGCCCCGCCCCGCCCGCCCCCTCTCCCGCCCGCGGTTCCACCCAACCGCCGGATTCCGGCCGCCGGGGCAGAGCGTCGCAGAGCCGCGAGCCCGCGAGGAGCGCGCGGTCCGCCGGTCCCCGCGTCCCCAGATCCGTCGCCATGGCCAGCCAGGAGCTGGCGCTCAAGCTGCAGCGGCGACTGCAGTGGGAGGAGGCGGAGGAGGGCCGCCCCCAGCCCGCGCCCCGCGCCTTGGCCGCGCGGGAGCCCGAGTCCGAGTCCCCCGCCTGGGCGCCCACCGCCTGCGCGGACGCCGAGCTGAGCGCGCAGCTGACCCGACGGCTGGACATCAACGAGGGCACCGCGCGGCCTCGCCGCTGCAAGGTCTTCAACCCCTACACCGAGTTCCCCGAGTTCAGCCGCCGCCTCATCAAGGACCTGGAGAGCAAGTTCAAACTGTGAGCGCCCGCGCCGCCCTGCGCCGCGCGCCCCGGAGGACCCTGCTCCCGGGGACCCGAGAGGGAGGGAGCGGGGAGGTGGCGGTGGGCGGGCCTTTCTGGCCCGGAGTCCCGGCTCTGCTTTGGTGGGACAGGGTGGGATAATTTAGGAGATGCGGGGTGCCCTTAGCATTTAACCCACGCCCCCAGATCCTGCGCGCCCGGAGCCAGGGCCGGCGCGGCGGGGGGCGGGGGGGGGGAGACCTGGCCCGGCCACCGAGAGCAGTGGCCGCAGCTCTCCCGGACTGAGCTCAGAAGTTCCCCTGAGTCCCAGGGCGCGGGTCCCGACGGCCGGTCCCGCCCCCTCCGCCGCTGGTGGCAAGAAGTGCCCGCCGCGCAGCTTCTAGGAAACGGAGTCGCACAGCGCCTCACCTGCCAGCTTTAACTTTATCTCCCCAGGGAGAAATTAGCCCATTGTCCTTTTATCTTTTAGAACAAAAGAGGAAAGTTATCCTTGGCTGCCGCGCGGGGTCTGACGTACCCGCAGAGGCTGACAACGGAGAGTTGGTTAAACTCGTTGCAAAAGATCGGGACGTTCCTGGGGCGAGTGTGTCCAGGGAGCGTCCCGGCGGCGTCGCCATATCTGCTCTACCCCTTCTTGCGTTTTGGGCAGGAGGCGCCCGTCGGAACCGGACGTAGCAGCCAGCAGCCGGTCGGACGGGGGGGCTCGCTCCCGTCCCGCGGTGCAAGCCCCGCCGAGCCCGGGAGCTGCTGGGCGTTGGAGGCAGCGTAGAGAGCCCCCACTCTTCGGCCTTGCATTCTGGGAGGTCCCTGGACCTCAGTTTCCTCATCTGGAGGGTGAGGGCAGTAATCGTCCCTGCCTTTTAAGGCCATACAGTGTTTTGCACACCCTAAAGCTCCTAACCAAGCTATTAATATTATTTCCAGAATTGGGCCAAGACCGGAAAAATGCCTGGGGGAGCAGAGGCCTCTGGCCAGGTCATGCTTGGGGCGTTTTTAAAAGCGCTTGGAATGTGTTTGTCCTCCCGCGTGGAGGTTCTATTTAAAGGCTCTGTGGCGGGCACTGTGTGGCCAGAGCGTTGGCCCCTTCCTGAGGCTGGGCTGCCGTCCAGCCGCGGCCTCTGTGGTCTGCAGAGGCTGGCTCCGGGAGCCTCCCTGCCTCCTCTGCCTCCCCCACACCCTGATTTCCCTGGCTTCCCGGCACTATTCTCTGGTGTTCACACCTGGTGGGTCTAGTTTGGGTAATTAAGGAAGCCTGAGTAGGGGGGGTGGTGTGTCTGGGGTGGAGATGGAAGAGCAATGGGTGAATGGTTTGTGGGAGCCCCTTTGGTTTATTTCCCAGGAGGACTGCTCTGGCTTCTTTGCTCCCATGTCCCAGCAGTTCCTCCCAGTCCAGCTGGATTGGAGGGTGCTGCATCTCGGGGACCTCCACCTTCAGGTTGCTTTGAGGTATAGACTTGGGCTTCTTTTATTTATTTATGCCATTGCTTTTTTTTCTGCAGAGCAGTTTGTGAAAGGATAGGTTGGTTGGTTTGTTGGCTGCCTAAGGGTAATACAGGGAGTCCACACAGGGTCTTCAAGCGAGGCGGCATCCACAAGGAAACAGGGTCAAGCTGAAGGGACGGCAGTGTGTGGTCCGGGGTCCCCACCTGCGCATGGCACTACATGATAGCTCTCCAGAGCTGTGGTGTCAGGCAGAATTCTAGGTTGCATTTTCTGTCACTTTCAACCAAATTGGCATAAACGAGAAGGAGGTTAATTGGCTCACAGTTGGTGTCAGGAATGGCTGGACCTAGGTGCTCAGATGATGCTATCAGTGCTTAGTTTCTCATTTTCTTAAGCCAGCTTCCTCTCTCTGTTGTCCCCATTCTCAGGTGGCTTATCCCTGATGGTGACAGGCTGGCCACAGCAGCTCCAGTAAGTCCGGAGGGAGAGTAACCACAGCAAAGGCCTTATTGTCTCTTTCTCTCTTTTTAGCTTTACTATTGTTTCTTACTGGCTCTGAACCAATTGCTGTGGCCAGGGGGACTTGTGGCTCTGATTGGCCAGGACTGAGCCACGTGTCCCACCCCTGCAGTGAGGAGTCCGGCCTCCACCCCTAGCAGCAGAGGCTTGGCGGTGGGGAAGAGTGGCTTTCACTGGCAAATCTTGGGGCTCTTGCTGAGGAAGGAGGGTCAAGTGCTGGTTTGGCTGTGAATGACTTTCATGGGTCACCCTGGACCCAGATTGTGGGCAGGCTCAGGCCTGCTGCTTTGTTCCCCATCAGCCATGAGTGTGCTCTCGCAGGACCGGCAGCTCCTGTCATCAGGGTGTGGGATCTGAGGCCCAAGCTGGTGCATAGAAGCCTTCCTGGGAATCACCCCCCTGTGTCCGGAAGGCGGGAGAAGCAGAACGGCCCCTCCGGTTAGAGTCAGCTGAGCAGTAGCCGGAGACAGCAGGTCGGCAAGGGGAACAGTGTTCCTTTGGATTCGGACAGACATAGGGCTGACGGGGCCCAGGATCCGTGACCCTGGGCAAGCTACATAATCCCTCAGAGTCTTGGTTCTCTTGCTGGTGAGATGGGCACAACGGCTACCCTCCCGTGAGGGCCAGGTCGCTGCTGTGGCCACCAGGGCAGGGGCCCCTGGAAAGTGCTGCCTTTCTTCCCCCACCGTGTTCGGAAAGGCCCCCCTGAACCTGGTGTCGAGACCCAGTTATGCATCATGCGTGTGGGGAGGGTGGGCACATAGCTCCCTTATTCCGGGGTCATTAGCTGTGACTGTTGACCGTGGACAAGTTGCTTAACCACTTCCGTCCTTTCATCTGTATAATGGGGGCGGTTGTTCCTTTCAACGGGTTTTGGGGAGATGAACGGGTGACCTGCTGAGATGGCATGTGACCTAGAAGGGGGGAGCCCTTTGCTGCACATCGTGCCCCCACTTAGGCTCCAGCCCTGTGTCCCTGTGCCCGGCCCCAGCTTCAGGCTCCCCACACCCCACAGAAACAGGGATTGCATGGCCCCAACCCCCAAGCTTCCACAGACTCAGCACCCACTCTCTGAATTCATTGGTTTTCCCTCTGGATGCGTCTGCCCGTTTCCCACACCTGGGAGGCAGCTGGGACTTGGCTGTCCCTACCCCACCAGGGTTAGCGGGCCCTGGGTTGGGAGATTTGTTCCCCGGCTACTTGTGACACAACTCAGCATGTGACAGTGACACTAGGTGATGGACCAACCCCTCATCTTGTGAAGGGGCCCTGCCGTGCCTGTGGTCACTAGATCCGGCCAGTCCCCCTGCCAACCACTGCCGGCTCCCTGCCCTCTTGCCACCTCCACCCCTGCTCCAGATAGCCAGCTGGCTCTGGGACCTTCTCTGCCTGAGCCCATCAGCCCAAGGGGCCGCCTGCCCCGGCTGCCCTTGCCCAGGCTGGGGCAGGCCCTGGGCCCCCACGCACCCAGAAAGGCTGCTGTGGGGCTTGGCACTCGGGGATTTGCCGCCTGGCCTGAGGCTGGTCCTCTGCTGCCAGCTGAGGAGCTTCTTGGTCCCAGCTTTGCCCACAGCCCAGCCCTGACTCCCTGCTGGCCCTCTTTCATGGGTTCTTCCTGCTGTCCTACATGACTTAAAAAAAAAAAAACAACCCAGCAACTTTTAAGCTATGCATAGGTGGGTCCTCTTAACCCGATGGCTCACTCCTCTGCCCCCATGCCCACTCCCGCACTGACCCCTCTCTGCAGCTGCCTCGGCCGCTCCCGGAGGGCGGGGCCCGGAAACCCCTTACTGCCCCCCCTCCTCTGAGCCCTCCCTGACTCTCCTCCTGCCCTGTGAGGACCCGTCCTGCCCGTGCTGGTCGTTACCGTGCTTCTGTCCCCAACCAAAGCATGGCCTCTTTGTCCCTTTTCCTTTTTCCTTTGCTTTTCTACACATAAATAAATAAAAGCCTAAGCGTGTTAAAATCCCAGCTTATTTCCCATCGCCTGGCTTTCCAGACTTAACCCACTGCAGAAGCAGTGCCGAGGCGGTGAAGAGCTGAAACGTGGAGCCAGGCTTCCTGGGTTCAGACCCCGACTCTACCGCTTGCTACCTGGAAGGTTACTGAAAAGCTCTGTGCCTCGGTTTCCCCTTCTGTCAAGTGAGGATAGAACAGTACGGTGCTTGTGGGGTTACTGTGGAGATTAAATAAGCTAATGCATGTGAAGCAGTTAGTTCTGTGCTGGGCCCACGGTGAGGGCCCAGGAGGTTTGCGTCACTCAGTTTCAGATGATCACACAGCTGTCATTTGGGTGGATGTGCAAATTTTGTGTTGTCTTTTTTTTTTTTGCTGACCAGGGGCACCTGCGTGGCTCAGTTGGTTAAGCGTCTGCCTGCAACCCAGGTCATGATCTCGGGGTCCTGGGACTGAGCCCCGTGTCGGGTTCCCTGCTCAGTGGGGAGTCTGCTTCTCCCTCTCCCTCTGGGCACCCCCCCCCCCACTGGTGCTCTCTCTCTCTCTCACACACACACACACACACACACAAATATATAAAATCTTTAAAAAAAAATCCAAAACCACTTTGCAATGTCTGAATTATCCTTCTCCACAAGCTGGAGAGCGGTGCCCTGGCCGCTTGCTGAGTAATTGGTCCCGCTGGGGCTGCGCCCTTCCTTATTGCCCTTCCAGGCTCTGTTGATGGGAGTTGCTCGCTCCACTGCTGGAGGAGGGGAGCGTCCTAGGGCTGCTCTAACAAGGTACTGTGATCCAGGGGCTTTCAAACAGCATGAACGTATTCTCCGGCCTTCTGGAGGTTGGCACCTGGACTCAAGGTTTCGGCATGGCTCTGGGAGCTACAGAGCTTTAGGAAGAAAATCCTTCCTCTTGTAGCTTCTGGTGGTCACCAGCAAGCCTTGGCTCGCCTCGGCTTATAGGCCCTACTCCCAACTCCACCTTGCTAATGTCCGGTCAAGTGTTCGTGATGGTGTTCTTTTTTTTTTAAAGATTTTATTTATTTATTTGAGAGACTGAGAAAGAGAGAGCACGAGAGGGGG